GGCTCAGCAGGACAGCCCTGCGCTAATTAAGCAGTGCGGCACAGCAGGGTGTGCGTTCCTTGGCCATCGCAGCCTCCCTTGGACACGCTGCAGAGAAAAGGCTGAAGCTTCGCAATGTTAGCCTTCCAAGAACTGCTTTAATTGCCCGGTAATGCACACCCTGGGGTCTTGTAATGTGCTTCTAATATGGAGCATTTAAAATATGAATACCCCAAAACAATTACAAGAGTTTGGTGCTCTGCTGAGTGTATCCTTCCACTCTGGAAAATAATCCATGACAAAGGAATAGGCTCAAAGTGAGGATACCAGTGCTTTCTGAAATCTGCCAGGGTCTCTTTGGGGCAGTAGGACACACCGCTCTTTCCCATAGTGCAACTTCACTCTGATCTTCCAGGACTAAAAGGATTGCTAGGTTGGGACTCCAGATGATTCAGACCTATCTCATTTCCCTCTGATAAGCCCTAGTATGATTTTTTTATTTGAGATACTGTCTAAAGACTCTGCCAGCAATAGTGAGAGAGGAGAAACCATGGAGTGTGTCAGTCTGTAAGTGAGTTTGGATAGAACTGCTGGAGAAGCAAGGGACGTGTCCTATGATCTCTCGTTCTCTTAGCAAATAATTGCTGGACAGGTTTAGAAGTTATTTTTATTTGCTTATTTACAAGGAGTGAAAGAAAGTTCTGGTTCTCAGAAAGGACTATGGCTCAGCTAATTTTAACTTCTAATATTTCTTTCTGCATTCTTGACCAAATTTGATTAGAGCTTGTTACAACTGTCATACCAGGAGAGATGATTTTTGTCTGTCCATCTGTATTCAGAATCAGCAAAAGCAACTGCATTAAAACTGCTGAAATAACAAAATAGAAATCAAACATTGGAAATTCATTATCTAATGCTAAACGTTTAAGAAAGTCAAAGGCATTTGGAAACAGGCAGTTGGTTTCAGCTGGAGCTGTATGCCGTATTAACTCTAGAAGGAGTTACTACAAGCCAACTATGGTAACTCATGAATTCCGGGAATGGATGTATATTTCTCAGTATGATAGTATGTACTGTAATGACATTATATGCCATTACTTAAGATATCGCATATTAAATTCAGATTGTGAAATGAAGTTCAGTTGCTTTACTGCAATCAAAGATCTATAAATGTCCTGTTGCTGAAACTTCAGAAGGTTACATGCTAAAACTGTGTATATTCTCTGAAACTCAAAGTACACAACTTGTGCAAAAATCTCCCACTGGAAAATGAAAAATGGGAATTTACAGTAAGTACCAGTTTATGCCCCTAATTAAACACAAATGCCGTTACTGGAGTCACTGACTGTGATGGAATTAAAGCAGGGATGAATTTAGTCCAAAGTGACAATTTTCTTTTGGAGAAAAGAAAGACTTTTGAAAATATCAGCATTTACTTTGAGAAATCAGCACTGCTGACCAGTGTGCCAGGATTTGTGTCTCTCTGCTTTTGGGAAGGGCTGAGGAAGTGTTCTGCAAAAAGGCTTGCATCTAGAGGCAAGAACAAGCTGTCAAAGGCAGCAAGAGGTGATCAAGGTTTTGCTCCCTCTTACACATCAGTAATCCAGAAATCCTAGGTTTGAGGCAGCAGAGCTGGCTTAGTGCGTATTTCAGTCTCCGGTAAGGGTGAAAAGCTTTCAGCAATCCCAAAGTTTAAAGACAGCATTATTATGCTGCATCTGTTGCTAGAGGACCAGGTCAGCTCTGTTCATCTTTCATCTGCTGTTTCATTAGGTGGTCTCGTGTCGGACAGACTCACTCGAAGCCTCTTAAAGCAGCAGCAGTGATGCCTAGCTATCCTGCTGTTTATCACTGTTCCTAAATGAATCGACCCAGGGGGATGCACTGCCATATTCTGCACTGAGCGTTAGGGTCCTGAAATTTCTCCTCTTTCCTTACAACACTAGAGTTCGGTCACGACTGCAGGGAAAAAGAGCACTGCTGAGGAGAGCGTCTTCATGACCTGCCTCTTCTTTTGGCCATAGGAAATACCTTCTACCTGAGACCTCATTAGATTCGCTGTGCATTTGATGCCAAGAACTATTTGACCCAAGCCACCGGAGGTTGCACTACCAGAATTTCTCCCCTTAGCTCACTGTTTCCAGACACCTTCTCTTGACATAAAACCAGTTTCACTCTTAGGAAGGGAATGTTTTTGAATAGAGCCTTTCACCTCTGGGTCACTAGCTGAAATCTGGCCCTGGTTGGTAGTGACCGAAAATCATTGCCAGCTGACAGCTACTTGGTGAAATGAGCTGGTGAGTCTCATTCCAGTTCCTAATGGACACATCTCAGTGAACACAGTCACAACTGGCACTAACTGGCATTCTCAGCTGAGAGACCGCGAACTGAGCAGGAAAGGAAATTGAACCTTCCCCTTCATCCCCTGCCTGGGTTTTTGAAGCATTATGGACAGGCATTTTATACCACTGTTTCACAGGCTGTTTTTATGCTAAATGGGTTTTTGAAACTTTGCAATTCTCATGCAGCATGATTCAGCACAGCCTGATCAGCCATCTTGGTATAATTAGGCTCATCTTATGGATCCTCTCAGTAGAAGCTGAGCTGTCTGATGCCACCTCCCAGTACAGATCACGAATCTGATATCATATCTCACTATGAATGGAACTGTCTGATGTCACCTCAGTGCTAACAGGACGTTTTAGAATATGTCATCTAAGGCTGCGGGCGAAATCTTCTAATCCATTCACTATGCTACACTACAATAGAACATAACACAGTATAACGTGTAGGTTAACTTAAGACACCCTCAGGCAGATTTTGGATAGACGGATGGATGGATGGATGGATAGATACATTTATACAAAGTATACATACATTATATCACTCTATTGATTTTTTAAAAGTTCCAAGTCTGCTTGGCTATAATGAGATTTTTGAACTTTGTGTTGCAATCAATGAGGGGAATATTATTGGCCTGGAGAATTGATATACCCGCTCTCTGTGGCTTGTTCTGCTCCTGGACTGCCCCTGCCCCCAAGGTGTACGATTCCATCAGACACTTAACCTCTTTTACAGTGTCATCAGGCTAAAAGGAATCTAATAGTGACACGGGACTTGTGCTCAGCACTCTGGCACTATTGCTTTCCTGTCACAAATAATTTATAGCTTTCTATTTCCATCCCTTTGCCTGCACCCCATCCCCTCTTTCTGTTTCTCTGGGCTGGGGGAAATCAATAAACTCGCACAACCAGAGTGGCACTTCAGGGGGTTTTAGGGGAATGTGAGAGAAGAGAGAAGAAAAGAAAAGAAAAGAGAAGAAAAGAAAAGAAAAGAAAGAAAAGAAAAGAAAAGAAAAGAAAAGAAAAGAAAAGAAAAGAAAAGAAAAGAAAAGAAAAGAAAAGAAAAGAAAAGAAAAGAAAGGAAAGGAAAAGAAAAGAAAAGAAAAGAAAAGAAAAGAAAAGAAAAGAAAAGAAAAGAAAAGAAAAGAGAAGAAGAAAAAAGTTGTATTATTTGCCCTAGCACAGACTTCTCAGATCAGCTCCTCAGCAAGTGCAAATCAGCATGACCTTGGAATCTGGCCCTGAGGCCCTCAGACACCTCCTGCATAGGTCCTCAGCAGCTATAGATCAGGGCCCCTGGTACCACTCATGTATATGAGGTGAGGATCTGGATCTCCATCCCCAGCTAGAACCTTGGCAATCCCTCTCTCCAGCTACATCCCAGGCAGCTTGTCTGCCACTCCAGCTACTGCCCAGGCTTCATCATGTGCGTATCGGAGTTTCCTAACACGCCGAGGTGATACACTTCGAAATACCTTTCTTTTCCTAAGAAGGTTTCACTCTCAGGAGTTGTACTTTTTAAAAAATGCCCTCTCCACATCTCTGCTGATCTCTGTCCATGCCATACCACCCACTAGCCACACATTTGCTCTTTCAAGTTTTGTCAACTTATTCTTTAGAACAAATCTTCGAGGGAAGCTCTCGGGTGGGCAGAGAGGATGTGTTATTTGCTTTCACTTGCTGGAGAGATTTCTGGGGAGAAGTTAAAGTTAATATAACATGGAGCTAAGAGTTCCAGAAACTAAGGCTGAAGAGCATCTGCAGCCTTTACCCTAGTTGCAGAGGCTCGTTTTAATCTCAGAAAGCAATTTGGTCTCCATGGCCCCCACAGGTCATAGTTTATTTGCCAAATTTCTTGGTGAGACAGTCATTTCCGAGTCACAGATACCCAGCATCTGCCAGCAGGCAGGGACCCTGCCAGTCAAGTACTAGGTGCTAGTGATTTTCTTTCACCTCTGACCTCAGCAGGATTTAAACTAGTGACCTAGAGGTAAAAGATTTCATGTAACGAGGAATGGAGCACTGACAATTACAGTTCAGTTTATTCTCATTCTGAGCTTTGTGGCTTCACTGAGACATCTTTTTGGGTTCCCATGCTGTGTTCATTTACCACCTGATAAACACCAATTTCTGCACTCTTTGCTGGAGCTTCTTTTTGCTGATGATCTACATCCCATCACCACTTCCTACAGATGTCTTCTACTCCCACCTTTTCATTTATGAAGGGTAAGGGCTTTGGGCAAGCCTTCCATCAGTACAAAGCATTCAGTTCTATGCCAGAAAGGTATTTTTTAGGTACACAACAAAATGAGATCTACATAATTTGTAAATCCAGAAGTGGCTCTATTAGCTGCAAAAACTGCCTTGTGTTATGCTGGGAGATCAGATAATAAATGGTAATGTAGTTGCTAACACATAGGAGATCCTCGCTCATTCATTGAGCATATAGTTACGTAGTGAATACTCAGGTTTGGAGAGAAGATGACACAGAGAAAGGACAATTCTCTGGGAACTGGACCATTAAAGTAGTAGAATCAGGATCACAAGAAGGCAAATGAAGCCACTCTGCTGCACCCAGAGCTCAGATCAGGCCTTTAGGTTTTGACAGCTGGGATCATGGGTATACAAAGGCACAGAGAAGTTAAAGTTGAGTTCTGAACATGTTTTGCTCTTTTCCAGGATCATCAGAACCAAAGTTCAGCAACCTTTTCACCCAACACCAGACGGAAGTGGGACAGGTGTGACTGCACCAGGACATACTATCGGTAAGAAGATTGGCATGAGGGGTAGTGACAGGCAAAGTGGAAATGAGCATGAAGCTTAGTTGAGGGAACAAAGTCTGACATGCAGAGCTAAACAGAGCAAAAGGGAGGAGGGTGTGGGGGAAAAGAAACCTTAGCGGAAATCAGAGGTTTCTGTTCTTTGTTTCCCTCGTTGCATTGCAGAGAAGGGAATCATGGCAGAGAAACCAGGCCAAGGTAGGGGTTTGCCCACAGTGATTCTGCCTTAACATCCATTTCACGTTCTCGCTCTCTCCTTCACCTCTCTAGAGAGAAGTATTCACTGCTATTCTGTCTAAGCACCAGTCTTCACCTTTTGTCTCCTTCTTACTCTGACTCTCTTTTCCCCTCCCTCTCCCATTTTTTCTTCTACCACTTTGCTGGAACTGGTCCATTTCTTAAAGCTAATAATACACAGACCAGGGTAAGATATTCCTGATGCCTCACAACTGAGTTCTTAGTTGTTCTAGCTCTGCAGTCAGGTATCCCACGGGTATATTTCACTGAGAAAATGCATTTTCTGCTGGGTGAGATGGGTTCATTGAGGTGAGCAGAAGATGGAGGCTGTAATAAGGTGACCAAACGTCTCCTAGTCTGTTGTGTTTAAAGGTATGGTGCTAGAGATGTGATGAGGTACTTTTCACTCCGTGGGCTGTATGGTGCATATGTCTGCTGTTGCTAGCATAGCTTTATCCAGCAACAGTTCAGAGCAAGAAAAACTATGTAGTATTCTGGCATTCTGTGACATACAGTGGCTCGTTTGTGGCTTACGGCACTGTCTTAGATACTGTTGGTTACTGACAATCAGCTGCTATATAAGGATTTACTGGAAAGTGCTGGTCTACATGGGACAGAGCTGGCAGATATAATCCTGTACATGAACTGTGTTCAGGAGTACAATGAAATTAATAGGCCAGTATGGAAGAGCATTTCTGGATGCCCTTTTAATCTGGACTTGCTCACTGGACTGGGAATCACTGACCACAACAGATGGAGTTGGCAGATATTATTCCTTCTTGGAAAAGTAATGCAATGTCTAGGGAATGCATTGGCTAAGCTGGAATAGTGACTGTGAGTGCTGCTACTGGAATCTTGTGTTGCTCTGGGATGTACTGGGAAGTGTGGGTCTACATCAGATAGTGTTGACAGGTTCTTCTCCATCCTGGAAGGCTTGTTTTGGAGGTATTGATGCTTCAGGTCAGTGCATTATAAGCTGAATGATGGGTAGTGGCCTATAAAAGAATTGGGATATTCTCCCCATTGCTGGGACACACTGGGACATAATGGGCATGCCTACTGGATGCATAGCTCTACTTGTCCTATATTCTAAAGCCCTGATTATCATGAAGTGATCATTTCTAATCTGGATGACCTGTCATTTCTGATGTATTGGAAACTCATGAGCAATCTTGGACAGCCGCGAGTGGCAGGAGTCTGCCAGTTGACATTGGTTGGTGCAAAAGGAAGACATTAGATTCTTACTAATTTGGGTTGGAGTATGTATCAGCAACTCAGTATTTATTCTAGCAGGGAACTCCATTTATTGGCCCAACACTGAAGTGCTTCTAACCTATGCTAAGGTGGTAATTTTTCAATGAGTGTTTTGGGTGGACACATAAGAGGCTGGTCTGGCTAAGAAAGAACATGTGTACTCCTGGTGGAAAAACGCTGAGAGGAAATGACCTGGCAAAATGTGGATGGACTGGAAGTCACTAGAGAATGTGGCCTATGCAGCGTTGCACTCAGTTACCACGGCATGCATTGGGAAGCCTGCTCTGAACTGGGATATAACAACAAGGTTTAGCTTCTTGATGGAATACACTTGCTTGTTATTAATGGCCCTGTAACTGGAAGGCTGTGGAGCTATGGTATAGGAACGGACTGGCAAAGCTGAGATGCAGCAACATTAGCAGTAGAGTGTGTATGAGTTCTTCAGTGTGAGAGACTGGGAGTCTGCTTAGTGCTCAGGCTTTCCTATGAGACTAGTGGCATGCATGCATAGCTTTCAGCTGGGGGATCCCTGAGTGCTGTGCTGCTCTCCTCATGGCCCTTTTTCCCTTTTCCTTTTGTCCAGTGCCCAGCACAGCATCCCCTCCCGTCTCCAGTGCCTCCAATGATCCAGTGGGCTCTTACTCCATTAACGGGATCCTGGGGATTCCTCGGTCGAATGGCGAGAAGAGGAAACGTGATGAAGGTAGGGGGAGGGGAGAAGCTCATCCTCCCTTTTATATTCTTTGTCCCCATGTACAGGCTCCAATTTCAGGCCAAGGTTTGCAGCTGCTCCAGGGGCTAGATCAGTTTTAGCAACAGAGACCAGTTCCCCGCCACTGCCCTGCTGGCTTGGAATGCTCTTCTTCCGAGGCCCTTTCATGACAGGCTGCGTCTACAGACATCTGCTCAGCAGGCAGAGAGCCGTCTCCATTGCTGGAGCTGATCCCAAGTTCATTCACTGCTGGAAACGGCTGGAACTGAACTCCCCAGGTGCCAGCAGGTGCCCGGACTTTGAACTGCGGGAAAACATGGTTTCCCCGACTCACTCGTTTTCAAACAAAATGCCATCTTGGAGAAGCACCAGCAATGTGGGAGTTATTTTTCATTCCCCTTGCAGACAAGATCCTCCCCTGTGACGTGCCATGAGCTACATTAGCTGGTGATTATAAGGGCCCAGTTTTGAACAGGTAGCATCTACCACAGCAGAACTGCCACACTTGCAACAGTCTGAAAGCAGAGCAGGAGGTCTTCTCAGTACTGCGGCCCCAAGGTTGTTATCTAAGCCTTTTGGTAGGGCTCTAAGGAATCAGGGTTAAGCTATCTCCTCTTCCTTCCTACCTGCTGGGAAGGACTCTGGGCAAAGTGAATCCTGAAAAGAGCCAAAAGCTGGAGCCTAAGGTCTAGATAGACTGAGTCAGGAGGGGTGGGTAAGGTCTTGGTGCTTTTATGGTGGCTTTGTAAACTTTTTTTCTTAAATCTTGCTCTTTTAATCTGATGCATTCAAAAATTGAGGGCCAGGAGGTGAACTTTTCTAAAGAGTAGTGCCTAACCAGTTTGTTCGGTTCAGTCCTGCCTTCAGTATGTTGTTTTCCACTGTTGCCTGTTGTGTGGGGGGACCTTTTAGCAGTACAGGTGGCTCAGTGTGCTACATGTGCTGTAACCCCAAGGCTGTGCGGTGCAAGAGAATATCAGGTTTTTCTGTGATACATGGTGAGAAGAAAAAGCTCTCCTGAGAGAGATGCTGCATTTTGGGGTTTTGCTAGTAATTTTCTCAGCATTGGTTCTGGTGAGGTTCACATCTGTAAGTTTTTGATCCAAATAAACACAATAATCCTAAGGAAAAAAAGGCAGTTATCATGACCCCTTTCTCCCTAATACAAAGTAAAACTAGAGACAAGGATCCAACCCAGCTGCTATTAAAGCAAATGGGAAGATTTTTGCTGACATTATTGGAAATTGGATCGGGCCCCAGAGGAAGATCCATTTCCCAGCTAGATGGCAGTAGGGCCCAGCTAAGAGAAAAGTGTAGCAATGGAAGGGCTGAGTCAATGCCTCAAAGTGAAAAAATGTCAGGAATAAGCGACTGCAAACATTGCAAACCTCTCCAGCATTACCCATCATTACATACACAGGAAATAGTGACATTTCAAACTGAGTGACAAGTTTCTCTAATAGTTGTGCAAATCTCTTGACAGTTATTTGGGGTTTTTGTGAACGCCTGTTCTCATACAGTCCAGCGTGGTGGTCACCAGCTCTCAACATGGTGCCTCCATATCTCATTTTGAAATGAAGCAGTTCAATCTGGCTTTAGTGGCTATTCTTTCCAAATACCTGGAAAAATCATCCCACTTTAGATGCAGCCACACAGTCATTTCCAGCCCCAGAACCTGAGCTTTTTTTTGAGCAGTACAATTAAACACAGAGACAACCAAGCAGCCATCTAAGACTGTGACACTTCACAATGATATATTAACAGAAAGAACAACTCTCTGTGTCTGTCCTTAATTCATCCCAGATTTGATTTATGAAGGGAAAGCAACACTCTGCAACTTCCTGCTGTTGGCCAAGAGCCCATGTATCCCACTAGGAATCAAAAAGGTACCAGACAATCCTGGAGACCTTACTTGCCTTTAGCTCTGAGTTTTAGGTGGCAGTTACATGACACAGCTGCAACTGCCTTAGAGAACAGCCTTCATCCTGCCATCCCAGATATCTGCTGCAGCTAGATTTCATGCTCCTGTCCCAGAGAAACCTTGCATGGGACCCCCTGCCAGCTGCTGAACACCCACAGCCAAGAGTTGAGTTATATGGGCTCACACTGGCCTTAAGAAATGCTGAAAGACATCATCGCTGTGCAGGTTTGGGTCCTAAGGTGAGCAGGGTCCAAGGGGAGGTTTTGCACAGCCAGTGATCTGCACTCACTCCTGGGCAATCTTCCCTGTAGCTCTGAGGGCTCTGATTGTTCCTAGCTGAGACAGGGATTAGGAAAGCCAGGCAAGAAATCCAGTGCAGGTATTTCTTTCATGCTCATGTTGGATGTATACACCTTCTCAGTATTCCCCAGAGCTTCTGAGCATTGTTTTGTTGTTTCTTAACTGCAGGGTTTAGTCTCTCATTGAAAACCCCTTATGAGCTCCCAATGCAGATCTACTTTTCTGGCATTTTTTGGGGTGGCTCTTCTCTAAAGGAGGCAGAAGAAGCAGCACTGCTCTCTCTTTCTTTCCGCTCCATTGGACCAGCTCTGCTGCAAGGATTCCTCTGTGAGGAATGCAGTTCAGCAGAAAGAGGGGAAGTATCAAGCTGCTCCTGAATCCCCAGTTCTGAAAACCTTGTTAGCAACCTCTGTGATGGCTCAGAGGAACAGGGTGGGAGAAAGACAGAGGAGCCTCTATCTGAGCACACCCCCTCCCCCAGGTCCTCCTTGCTGCAGCTGGTGCCTACATTAGACAGTAGCACAGATGATTAAGAAGAGGAGAGATAATTATGTGTCAAGATGATGTAGCAGAACTCCCGAGTTGGACAGAAGGAGCCAGACGGATGCATGAGGTGGGCTCAGCGATGGACGCTGACAGCCAGGTGTGTCCCCCACAGGGAGTTAGAGGGAAGAGGGGAAATCCCAACCTACCAAATGTGCTGGTTGCAACTGCAAGGGTGGCCTGGGAAGACTATAGGGTCGAGAGACAGCTATCAGGGAAGTACCTCTGAGCGTCTACTAGTCACAACTGTCAGATCGCAAGTCGTTCCTCAAAACTCAGTGTGTCTTCCTCGGATGAGTGCCTAGGAAGGATGATGAGGATTTGCCCTGTTAAGACCATGTATTCCTTTTGTTTCAGTTTTTGATCAGTGATTGTAAATCCTCTAACTTCAGTGACAGATTAGACAAAGCAGAGAGTTGGTCTCCTACATTTTTAAAAATAATTTGTCTAAAAACGTTCACCACCACTTGTGTAGCACAGCGTGTGCCATTTCTTGCAGTCTATGGGCAGTCAATGTTGCTGAAATTTCTCTCTAACCTTCCCCAGCACTTATGCCCACCATCTTCCTCCAAAGGCAGAAGTGGCCCTACAGCATGTAATGACTTCCCCAAGACCACTGAGGGTCTTGCAGTATCAAGCTTCAGATGTATATAGTAGTTATTGGTTCTTCATGATCCTGATGACATACTATGCTGCGATGGCAGGCCAAGCTCAGCAGGGTCATTGTTAGACTAAGGAGCAACAATAAGTCTAGAAGGATAAAAGGGAAAATAATGTGCAAATATTTCTGTGGTTCCAATATCCCTCTGATTGATAGCTAAAACGATGAGAATTGGGGTGACCCAGAGGCACTAACAAAAAATTAGTTATCACTCATACTGCACTGTATAAGGAGAAAAAGGAAGAGATGGGAAGAAAGGGAAGGATCCATCAATTAGATAATATGAAAACAATATTTCAAACTGTTCCCTACATACCATAGCATCTCCAGCTGGGTGAAGCTTTTGAGGTCTTTACAAAACCACTCATTAGAAATAGCTTTTTCTCTCCATAGCAGGCCCCAGATAGACTTCCTCCATAGACCCAAATTCTCATTTGGGATTCGTGTTCTAGTGAGGCCGGTGCTGTAACAATCTCAGCATTATTAATCTTGGTCCCTGACAATATCTGTAGTATTTGACAGCATTACTGGCAATAATATCTGCAGTGCTGACAATGGCAGAGATAATATCCCCCAGTATTATCGGCATTAGCAGGGATCATATCTGCAGCCTGTTATTGGCGGGAGCAGATGTAATGTGTCCAGTATTATTAGTATCAGTAGTAATAAAACCCACGGGCTTGTTACTATGATCAGTGCTAATATCAGCAGTAGGTTTGTGGGAGAGGAGGGGACGGAGTGATTGCTACTGTAAATGGCAATAATACTCGGGCTGTTTGCAGTAAAGGAATCCACAGCGGAGACAAGGGAGCAAACCTGAGAAGGCACAAGTTCCTCCTTTCCTTTCTTCACCTGTCATTTTGATGATTAGAGTGATTTACATTGAAGTAAGTGATACAGGGCTGTGCTGGTGTAGGAGGACAGTAAAGGGTCACCAACATTTCGGCAGGTCTGGTGGTGTTTTCCAAAGAGCGTTAGCTGTATTAGTGCAGGTGGTTCACTGAACTCTTCAAAATGGGGTTTTGCTATGCAGAGCAGGGTGCTGCCTACTAGCAGCAGGAGCATTTGCACTGTTAGGCCTGTAGCTGCAGGATGGGCAGCATCACTGCACTTCTCTTTGGTGCTGAATGCATAACCTTCTGACTGTTACTACCACAACACCCTCTACTGAGAAGCATTGCTTTTGTCACAGGTGGTTTTCTCTTCCCCCACTCCAAGCAGGAAGACTCTGACTGCAGAGCAGGGTTTTGATGGTGTTCAGCTTGGAGATTTTTCTACCTGGCCATGACCTCATTTTCCTACTGGGAAAGTAGAAAAGTCTCCTTCAGGTGGAGTGCGAGGCAGGGAGAGCTGCAACGGTCCCAGTCCTGAAAGCTGTTTTTTTAGATGCTGCCCTGGGACTTAGACTGTCTTGAAGAAAATTTTGAACTCAATTGTTTAAGTGGAAAGTAGTACAGAGAGGAGAGCTATGCAAAGTGTTTAAGAAGGTCTGAGTTTTTGAGCAGATACACAGCAGCCAAGTGTGCCACTGCAAGTATGATGCCACCAGTGCTGCTCGGAGTGGCC